GTTGCAGGAGTTAGATATACTTAGCAAACGAATAAAATATGAATCTCAATAGTCACCTCGATGCACTACAAATAGCTCCAAGCAAACACTAACAAAATAGCGTATAACAAGAATAGGAATAACAAAATAGCGTATAACAAGAATAGGAATAACAAAATAGCGTATAACAAGAATAGGAATAACAACATAGCGTATAACAAGAATAGGAATAACAAAATAGCGTATAACAAGAATAGGAATAACAACATAGCGTATAACAAGAATAGGAATAACATAGCGTACAACAAGAATAGGAATAACAAAATAGCGTATAACAAGAATAGGAATAACAACAATAGCGCATAGCAAGAATAGGAATAACAACATAGCGTATAGCAAGAATAGGAATAAGAATAACAACATAGCGTATAGCAAGAATAGGAATAAGAATAACAAAATAGCGTATAACAAGAATAGGAATAACAACATCGCGTATAACAAGAATAGGAATATAACAAAATAGCGTAAAACAAGAATAGGAATAACAAAATAGAGTATAACAAGAATAGGAATAACAAAATAGCTTATAACAAGAACAGGAATAACAAAATAGCGTACAACAAAAATAGGAATAACAAAATAGCTTATAACAGAAACAGGAATCACAAATAGAGTATAACAGAAATGCGAATAACAGAATAGCGTATAACAGAAATAGGAACAAGAAAATAGCTTATAACAGAAATAGGAACAACAACATAGCTTATAACAGCAATAGGAACAATAAAATAGTTTAGAACAGAAATAGGAACAACAACATAGCTGATAACAGAAATAGGAACAACAACATAGCTTATAACAGAAATAGGAACAACAACATAGCTTATAACAGAAATAGGAACAACATAGCTTATAACAGAAATAAGAACAACATAATAGCTTATAACAGCAATAGGAACAACAACATAGCTTATAACAGAAATATGAACAACAAAATAGCTTATAACAGCAATAGGAACAACGACATAGCTTATAACAGAAATAAGAATACAATAGCTTTTAACAGCATTGGGAACAACAACATCGCTTATAACAGAAATAGGAAGAACAATCTAGCTTAATACAGAAATAGGAACAACAACACCGCATATCGGAAATAGGAACAACAACAGCGCATATCGGAAATAGGAACAACAGCATAGCATATAAATAACAGAATTAGGAACAACAACATAGCAACAGAATTAGGAACAATAACATAGCTTATAAATAACAGAATTGAGAACAACAACATAGCATATAACAGAATTAGGAACAAAAAAATAGCTTATAAATAACAGAATTAAGAACAACAACATAGCTTATAACAGAATTAGGAAAAACATAGCTTACAGCAGCAATATGAACAACATAGCTCATATCAGAACACAATAGTTTACAACAGCATCAGGAATCACAACGCGGCCCATCCAAACACTCACCTCCTGCGGTGATGAATTCGTCCAATTCCTTATCCAGCTGCGCTTGCCGTTCTGCGGCAGACAGGTGCCCGCCAAAACCGCCGCGGCCCCGCGCTCCTCCACGTGCGCGCTCATACCTACCACGCCCGCTATCCCCAAATATGGGGTCGGCGTTGCCATGGCTACCGGCCGTGCGGGTCGCGGTGTAGTCGCCTGTGGCAATCTCATCCAGCTCTGCGTCGAGGGCCATCGCGCTCTGCTGTCTATCCCTCTGCTGTTGCTGCTTGTAGAACTGCGACTCCTTCCACGCACCCACCCGTTTGATATCGCTGGTGGACGCGAACCGTATGAGGATGTCGGACCACTCCTTGTAGTCCTTGCCCTTACGCCAGTACAGCCGTGTGTCTTCGGGCACGTACTCTTCGGTTATCTTGAGGGTCTCGGTATAATCCGAAGCCAGAATGGCGGTGGACGTCGCCAGCCGAGCGGCCTCGGCTTTGGCTTCGGAGTCGAACACAACGCACACACTGGTGTAAGGCGAGGCAAGTTACAGGATAGTGGTTGATGAGTGCTAAGGAACTTCAGGCTGGCACGGGCGCAACAGGCAGTGGATAAAGCAGCGGGGAATTAAAACTGAAACTAAAGAATGGGTGTCGTGATCACCGTACGCTCAGATAGGTTATCTATCTATACCATGGACCGTATCCTACTCCCACACAATATTTACACTCTGCACCGCGCTGGTTGGCCAATAACAGGACAGCATTAACACTCAACTTC